GTATGTACAAACCGGTCTGATTTGTGCCTTAATGTATGATAAATATCAGGGGAAGCTCTCTTCCTTTGCCACAAAATTGTGGACAATCTGATACTCCAGGAGCATATAAAGAGGGTTTAGCATTTGGAAGATTTAAAATTAATTTGTGGAACAAAACAGCCAGAATGTCACTAAATACGTTGGGGGGGGGGGGGGGGGGGCAAAAAAAATTTTCCTGGGAGGGAAGGCCAAAATTCAAGAATTCAAGTAATGCACAAATTGTATCTTATATTCCATGCTTTAAATAACTATACTAATTTAAATAAATGGCTAGCATGAAGATTGGTGATGTTAACAGGAAGATTTTTGTTTAGGAGGAAAAATGAGTCCAGCCTTAAGTTCCAAAGTATGAAGATGGTGGTTTTGCAGGTTAATTAAGAAATGGTGTTCTTGGTGCACAGTGTAGTGTGTAATGGCTTATGACAGAGAAGCAGAAATGATAGGATGGTCATCACTGGCAGACAAGGAAAGGTATGGAACAGGAGACAGGTGCTGCATACTTATGTAAAAATTTGTGGAAGAAAAATAAAAGTCAGATTTCTTAGTCTGTCACTCTAGCCTTTTTGAATCCCTCAGTTACCAATCATGGCGTGGAGTTTCAGAGGACCAGGGAGGATGAGACTAGTGTCATATTGCACAGAAAGTGAACAAGAATTTCACCCTCTTCGTCAAAGAAAGAAATAGTTCTGTTGTGGTCTCTTCAAACTTAAATTTTAGTTTTGTTTTTTAAAAGCAATATACAGCCTATGAGCAAGAGGAAGATGCTGGATTTAGGCAAGTGTACCTGGGAAATGAACTTCTGATGAATGGATAGTTAAGACATTTTGAATTAGAGGAAATGGCTTCAAGTTGCGCCAGGGGAGGTTTAGATTGGATATTACGAAAAATTTCTTCACCAAAAGGGTTGTCAAGCATTGGAACAGGCTGCCCAGGGAAGTGGTTGAGTCGCCATCCTTGGAGGTATTTAAAAGATGTGTGGATGTGGTGCTTAGGGACATGGTTTAATGGTGGACTTGGCAGTGTTAGGTTTGTGGTTGGTCTCGATCTTAACGGTCTTTTCCCACCTAAACGATTCTATGATTGGTTCCTTACCATCTCGCCTCACAAGGTGTGAAGGAGTCAGATTGGGTACTCGAGGTGCACCTGTTTCTTTACAGACGAAACACTGGCACTTTTAGTGTGCTGGAAGCCTTAAGTCTTGGATGGAACGCCTGCCTAGCAAGCTGTGGTGTACCCTGGCAACTTGGAAAATGGAGCTGAAGCTTCCTGTTTCCTATTCTTTACCACGCAGATTGCTCAAAGGCAGAAGTCTGTGCTTTCCAGCCGTCCATTTGCTGTGTTGTTAAGAAACCAAATGGGGAACTCATCCAGAAACTTGATGGATTTCCTGCTTACTTCTGTGATGCTGCCTGGAGGGGTGTGTGTTTGGGCACTTTTTTCCTCTTTTTTCCTTGTTGTTTTTTTTTTTTCTTTCTTGAAGTGCTTTTAAACAAACCTTACCAGAAAAGAATTTCTGACTAGTTTAGCTTTGGGTAGGAAAGGTCTGGGGTTTTGAGCCTAGATCTATATTTGAGAAAAGAGGCAGAAAGCTATTATTGGAACTCTTTTCATCAGTTTTGGACTGCATAAACTGGTAGGAATACTAATTCTGGCACCAAGTCTAAGGGACTCCACGGAAGCAAACAGGACAGACCTGAGCAGTGTCTAAAAAGCGTATGACTCTTGGCTTTGTTTTCCAGCTAAGAATGAATTGAACCTTTTCAAAGCTCTTGTCCAATGTAAACAGAATGCAATGCCTAGCTGTTTACCCAGGCGTGCTCTGCCTAAGAGTCAAAAATCATTGTCTATGTATGATCAGCTCTGACAAAAATAAAGAGGAAGTGTTAGAACTTGCAGTACAGAAATTATCTGGAGTTAATTGCTGAAGCAGTTCATTGAAGAGGAGAAAGTTAACGCTTGCAGGAGTTAGCACTGTGTGTGCACATGCATGTGGATTTTTCTTGGTTTTGTTCTTCCCAATTCGAAATATGGGTGCATATTCTGGTTTAGACAGCGCACTGTCACCTTTACCAGCTTCAGAGCCTCTGTTGACATCTTACCTACTCCCAAGTTATTGGAAGTCCTTTGATTTAATGTACAAAGTCCACGGTGATCTGAAGGTATTTGTTTCTTCTGACTGTTATGCTAAACTAGGAGCAGAACTGCTCTATGCATTTTTTGGCTACTGCTAAGTGGCTACTGAGTGCTCCTTAACTTGATTTTTGGTGGGGTTACTCCCAGGATAAGGTATTACTGGTCTGGGTTGGTGCCAGAAAGATATATTAGGAAGCTGTTTTGTTTGCTGGGAAATGAATGTTCTCTTTTCCACTACTTTGAGTGGAAGAAAGTAAGTCATGATAAGAGTGGTAAAGCCTATATTTGCTGTATTTTCTTGGACGCAACACAACTACATGGATGCTGAAGTAAAATTCTGATTCTTTGGAAGTTAATGGTAGATTTAGTGAGCCAGCTCAAGCTAAAGATCTGAGGGCCCAGTGAACCTCTGCTGAGGTTTGACTTGCTTCTGTGTAGTTAAGTAGGAACTGGATTGTCTTTAAATAAATCCCTGCAAACTTTCATCTTTGACTTCAGAATACTGTGATCTAAATGTCTCATTCTGAGCTATTTTCTTTGGGGAGAAATAGATACTTGCATCATAAGACAAGATGGATTGCATACTTCGATGCCTAAAAAAGATCAGACAAATGCACTTGAAACATTTAGTTCTCCCTTCTCTAAAAGAAAGCTGAAGGTGATTCTCAGATATGCATGTTGACAGGGTAGGTGAGATGAATCCCACTCATTTTGTTTAGGAAATCTGGAGGAGGAAGGTTAATATTTTTGTTTGATCTATGGACTCAATACTTGTTGACAGGAATGAGCTCTAAATAAAAGGATGGTTTGACAAAGTGAGAGTGCATTATCACATGTTGCTCAGCAGATGGCTTGGAAAGAGGAGAGAGAAAAAAGATAGAGGCAATGATCTACATCCCTCTCCCTTTTCAATTAATTTAAAATGCTGCTTGAAAAATATATACAACACCTCCTGCCACTTCATAAAGCAGCTGAGAGCTGAGGTCCAGTTGTTCCTGGTCTGGTTTATTTAGGGTTGCAGATGTAAAGGTGGCTGCAGCGGTGTCACTGGCAGGGGGTGAGGAAACACTGCCACAGGGTGTAAGTGCTGGAGCTGGACTGGAGGAGCGGTCTGGGGCTGACATCCCAGTCTAGTGGCTGGCTGCCTGCCCTGCTTTGTAAGGACTAAGGATGGTATCTGTCTCTGGCTGCTGTGGATTGTGACAAACATATGGGGTCCCATCTCCTCTGAGGTCTAAATAAAAAAATAAATCCAGTGTTACTGCCTGGATACATGGAGGGGCCTGGGCAGGTGTCTTAAGGACTGAGGTGTGGCTGGGAGTGGAGATTATTTGGGCCTGTATAAGTAAGTTCTGCCCATTTAACATGTACTGACCCGTAAAGCCCCTAATGAAGACTGTCATGTGCCACAGTAACTTAGGAAACACATGATGATCACTGGTTATTTTTATATGCAGTTCTGTGATTTGTGAACTACAAAAATACACTAACTTTTTCCAGGCTGTACAGCTTCTCTGTTTGCTACAGCTTTTCCACCTTCCAACTGGGTGGCAAGTGCAATTTATTTATCGCGTCAAAAGGCATCCAAAAAGAAGGCAAAGCTTCAGAACTAGATTGGTAGGGAGAAGAAAGGATTATTATTTTTTTGTTTCCTGATGCTAATCATTAGCTCAATTTCCTCCTGTCTTCAGGATGAGCAATTTTTGCTCGATAATAACCAAAGGCTCAGAGGAGTTCTGGCTTGAGGTAACTGACGGATTTAACTGTGATAATGGCTATATCAAATAGCTTTAGGTTGGTCGTGATCAGATAGTTTAATCACACTTAATTTATGTGGAAATTGTTCCTCTAAGTGACTTTTAACAGTTTTGAAAATGGCTTGCTTGCTCTGGACTTTCAAGGGTTTCAAACTGTAGAGACTTTTTCTGAGAAGGTGGATGTCTAGTCCCAGCAATGGTGTGTACTTGAACATTCATTTCAAGCTCTGGCCACTCAATTTAGTAACTACTTGAATTTTCTGACACTTGCTCTGTAGTCATTACCTATGTAGGGGTATGGGTTCATAGAATCATAGAATCATAGAATCATTGAGGTTGGAAAGGACCTCTAAGATCATCGAGTCCAACCGTCAACCCAACTAATCACACTTAATTTATGTGGAAATTGTTCCTCTAAGTGACTTTTAACAGTTTTGAAAATGGCTTGCTTGCTCTGGACTTTCAAGGGTTTCAAACTGTAGAGACTTTTTCTGAGAAGGTGGATGTCTAGTCCCAGCAATGGTGTGTACTTGAACATTCATTTCAAGCTCTGGCCACTCAATTTAGTAACTACTTGAATTTTCTGACACTTGCTCTGTAGTCATTACCTATGTAGGGGTATGGGTTTTTTAGGAAGGACTCCTGGCTGTATGGAATTTATTTTATTTATTCTATACAGTTAAGCAGTGTTCCTGCAGCAAAGCTTCATAACAAAAGAACTGTTGTTTGTAAAACTAGATGAAGTATATTAAAGGGACCTCTCTTCCCATTAAATATGAATATAAAACCTCTTGCTGATCCTGCACCAGTGAAAACAGGTTTGAGGTGGTGACAAGCTTGCGTCTAGGAGTAGATCTTAGAGCTGTCCATGCTTGAAGAAAAAAAAAGAAAAGATGTAAGATGGAGGGAGCAAAGAGAAATGACTGAAACTAACCTTTATATCTTTTGAGTATAAATATATGCAGTGGCATAGCAAATAGCGTAATACTACTGGGTTAAGAAGCTTTTTAAAAAATTTAATGGTGGCTTAACAATGATAAAGTACTTAAATGTGTATGTTGTTTCTGTCAGCAAACAAATGAAAGAGCTGGAAGAGTCGGGATTCCTGAAAGGAACTTTGAGTGCGGAGCAGCAGTTGGCTCTCATTAGCATCTGTACAGACCTGAAGGCAGCAGTAGAGGGTGCTACTTTCATTCAGGTAAGCAAAGATTTGACAACTCCTAGCAGACAGTTTAGAAAGATGATCAAGAGCTGTGCTGTGCTGTCAATGGGCAGTGGAGAGTTCAACATCCTGACTGCATAAGCATGGTTGTGCTTGTTAAAATCAAAGTTCTTTCTAGCCTAGTATCTTGACATGGGAGATGATGCCTCTTTGCAGGATTTCCCTACTTGAGAGTGCTTGCAAGTTTCTTTTGGGTTATGTTGGAAGAGGCTGGTGGCTGGCTAAGCCAAGAGACAATTGCTGACCTCCATGTGTAACAAAGACTGTACATATTTAGAAAGATTAATGTGGGGGGGTGGGGGGCAGGAGATTCTTGGGGGAGAGATTATCTCTTAGGGAACACCACACATTCTAGTGCTGGGACTAAAACGTGTTTCTTCCTCTCCAGGTACCTTGGGAAGGCAGGGGAGTATGGCTATGCCCAGGGGTGACTTCTGTTCTGGCTGTGGGGGAGCACTGTAGCCAAAAGCAGCTATATGACAGAGTGTTAGAGTATTAAAAACACAGTTGATATATAGGGCTGGAATCTGTGCTGCAAAGTGAAGTTGGGATGGGGAACAAGCTGTATTACTGAACCTCTCCTGAGTTTAATCTGCAAATTTATTTTCTAGTCATTCAGTCCTGTAAAGTCCTTCCACAAATGTTTGTGGTTGTAATGATGACGACCGACTTAATTTTATGAGCTAACTTTCAGGTCATTTATGAATGGATATAACAAAGGGCACAGATATCTGTGAAACAGCACTCGTCAGCATCTTCCACTGAGTAAGAACTGACTGTTCTTCCTACTGTCTGCTTACTGTCTCTTTACCAGTTCATGAAAGGACCTTTTGTATCACGTGACCAGTTAACTTCCTTGAAAGCTTTTATTATTTTTTTTGTTGCAAGGCTTCTGGGCATTCACGCCAGCTGCATCAGCTACATGGCTCCTGTGCCTGTGCTTGCTGCTTCCTTTAGAGAATTGTACTAGGTCTGTGAATCAGGACTTCCCTCTGAGAAAGTTGCTTTGATTCTTCCCCATTTATCTAATACTTGTTCAGTGCTACCCTTTTCTCTTAACTCGCTTGATAGAGACATAAGGCTTACAGGCTTACTGTTGAGATCTTTCCTGAAGTTCCCTTAAAAGTTGCATCATGCTTGCCACTCGTCTGCTCTTTGGTACCAAAATAGTGTACGTCCAGTTTTGTTTCAAGTGAGCAGTTGTATATCACTGTTACTGTGTTGGGTATTCAAACCATATCAAAACATGTCCTAGTACCTTGGTTCTGGTTCCCCTCGCCTCTGTTCTATGACTTGAGACAGACCCTGGGAGTCCTCAAGACTAAGGCTTCAGTTTCCTTCAAGGATTAGAAGGTGAAACAGAACAGTTGCAAAGAAATCACTGTTCTGTATGCCTTTTCCAGATGATCATCCTTCTGTACTCTGATCATCTCTTAGTCCTATGCATTCTTCTTCTCCGTGCATTTTGAAGAAAGAAGGGAAATTTTTTTAAATTATTCCTCTTGTAAATTGCAGGGGGGGGTGGGGGTGGTGTCTGCTTTGCTTTGTCTTATTTTGACAGATTAACAATCCTACATGGCCATGTTCATTTGGGTGCTGTCTCAACTTTGTGAAGGCTGCCTTCTTGTTTCTAGTAGACTTCTAGTTCTGCCTGTTTTCACTTGCTCTTTCAAGTGTTTCTTACTACCTGGTGTGTCCATATGGTGTCTTTACTTTCTCTGTATGCTACCTATAAGGATCTGATCCTTCTTACTGCCAACTTTGCATCTCCTTAGTATCCTCACTTTTATTTTAGTATCCTCTTTTGAAGCTAAGCATGGCTGTGATGGAGTTCTGGGCTCTTGTTGCTCCTACAGAGTTGTTGAATCTTAGTATGCTATTGTTCCTGTTAGAGAGGCTCTTCAGCAGTGAGATTTTTTTTTTTTTTTTTGAACAAGGTCCTGCATGCTACTTCAAATTAAATCAGGGGCTGCATCATCCATCCCTTGCACCATCAGCTGATCTATGAAACAAGCATCGGGCAAATGTTGCAGAATCAAAGTAATTTTGAGTTGGAAGGGACCCATGGAAATCATCTGGCCCAACCTGCTGTGGGACCAACTTATATCAGCTTGCTCAGGATTTGTGCATTTGAGTTTTGAATATCTCGTAAGGATAACTGCTTCTGGTCTCTTTGCGTAACCTGTTAGAACATTTGATCACTCTCATTGTTAAACTTCTTTCCTAATATCTAATTGGAATTTCCCTTCTTGCAACTCTAGTCTTACCCCTCGTCCTGCCACCATGGACCTCTGAGAAGAATCTGGCTTCTCTGTGTGTTCCCTTCAGGTAGTTGAAGGGAACTTCAGCAGTGCTGAACAGTGCTGAACACAGCAGTGCTGTGTTGATAGTCTCTGAATAGCAACAATCTACCTGGGGTAACTCAAGCTTTCCGGTACTATTTTATGTTCCCTTAGCCCTTTTGATGTCTCTTAACATGTAGTCATTAAGCATATAAATAAATAAATAAATAAAAAATGAAGTAGCTGCAGTATGCCTGTGGGTAACAAATCATATGTGTGAAACACTGTTGGCGGTATTCATATCAGCTCATCCGTTTCAAACCATAGCATCAGATTTTGGTTTGATACAAAGTGTTAACAAATACACAGTGTAATTGGGAAAACTATTTGAACTAATCTTTAATTTGCTCTTGGAAGGGGGGTGGAATAGATAATAAAAGAATCTTAATTCTAGGCTCACAGCCTTATCACAGCCTTATTTCAGCAATGAACAGACTACTTTCTGGCTGAACCGTATTAAACTTCAGAAACATTGCCTAGTGCAGCTTTGAGCCTGGAAGGACAAAATGGACTAATTGTAAATTATGAGTGCAAGTGTTCTGACATTTAGTTCCTTAAAAAATAAAACATCAGTTGCATTAATGTTAGTTGAATATAGAGGATTCTATTTTCTTGCTTAAAGATATAACCTACTGATTAACTTGTTAAGACTTCCATGAGAACTACATTTCTTTATCCTAGATTTCAGTTGGTTAAATCTTAACTTCTTTTCAAATTTGGTGTTTGTAGAGTAAGTCCACTTCAAGCTTTAAAAATTTCCTTGATGTTTGCACTCCTTGAATGAATTCTGCAGACAGTTGCCTTCTATGTCGTTTTAATGGGACATAACTTAAAACAAATGGGATGAAGTAGTAAAAAGTGGAACTTCTTAAATGACATTAGTGAAGATATAAAAGTGAAAAAGATGCAAGAAATAATCAGGACTGAGTAAGAAGAAAATTCATAACAATAATGTCATTAACCTTTAAAAACAAGGTATGCCTTGATGCATATTTTATATATTCCCTCTCCTGAGCATTTTTATGAAGTAACTTGTCTTGATTAGTGTGCTTTGTATCAACTTCAGGAGGAAATCGGTCTGTTTTTTTGCTCTAAAACTGAATATTCACCCAGTTTCACTTCTCAGAGCTTTTCTATGCTGCTTAGAGTAAGTGCATAATCTATAGCATTTAGGTGAATGTGCACTGCAAACTTCTTGCATCACTAAAAGCTTTAATTCTGAAATAATTTTTCCATTAGCTGAAAACTCCATGGAGACAAATTAATGGATACATTTGTACTATAATGTCCCTGGCATGGGACTATCATGGGTGAGGTAAATGTTTCTTAATATTGTGCTCTTAACTTTCCTGCATAAATATATGATGACTTTTGTCTTTTGTCCTTATGTGACTATTGGATACTGAACTTATTAGTATTCCTTTCACTATTAAAAACAGATTTGAGTGGATGTGTGTCTAGTTCCTAAATAATATAAGCTGAATAGAAATCAGTGCAGCACTTGTATAATCTCTTACCACAATGCTAGTAAAATGAAAATATATCTTTTTAAATGCTTCGCTTTGGCATAATTTACTAACAGAATAATAAAATTTACTAGCTCTTGGAGGAGGATAAGATAACTATTGGTAAGATCTTACTCTTGACACTTGAGCTACTGTGTACGCTGGTGAGTTGTGAGGCCTGGCTGGGCTGGCTGAAGCCAGGCATGGAGGGTGGCTGCGAGGTGATCTCTAAACCCGTCAGTCTTGCTGTGACATGGGACAAAGCAGAGTGGCAAGGGGATCAAATTATGCTTGTAACTTATACCTCGTGGTCTGAGGTATTTATCCTTTTTCATTTTAAAGGAACTCTGTCTAAAAGCCTTAGAACAGTATCTTTATTTTTTTTCCCCCTCTAAAAAGAGAGGGTGTGCCCCCCCATTACACCTGCAAACTCTTTTGAACCAGTGATAACAACACTAATGGATCTTCAGCCTGGTCTCTTAGATCTTGCTGGCTCTTTTATCTCTCCCAGTTAGACGTATTTAGAAAAAACAGTGTTACCAGCTTAAAAACAGCTTTCAAAAAGCCTGGTGGTGCCTCAGAATGGGAAACCAGCATTGACCTGGGAGCCTTGACAGTAGGTGTCTCATGTCACAAAAATTTGTCTTTAATTGTCTGGTACCAGTTTCTGCCACTAGCTTTTGTTTTACTTTCCTGATGGCTTTCAAGAACCCTTTTACTTCTGCAGATGAGGGAATATCTGCAGACAGCAATGGGTGAAGATGTCTTCAGCTGCCCTGAGCTTGTAGGATAGACGACCATCCTGGTTTGGAAGCTGTGTTGATGATGTACCTCTGTAAATACAAAGCTGCTGGAAGGCACAGTGTGCAAGCATTGCAGTAACATGGCTTCTTCTGGACTGGTCACTGGTCAGTTCTGAGCACTGGACAGACAAACATGGGTCTGTTTGCTCTCAGCTGGGTAAATATAACCTTAGGTCTGGTTTTACCCTACTTATCTTAACTTCTAGTGCCTCAGGTCAGTGTTTATGTTTTGGCTTCTGAGGGAGCTGGTTTTAAGCATGTGACCTGACCAGTCATCTTTGTAGAGGTTTTGAGAAAACTCTTTTCCTGATTTTAGGGTTTGAAAC